CCTACTGCCTATTCGGTGCAAAGTTTGATTGCTTATTTCCTCCATAGTTAAAGTTAGAGTAATCTCTCCAGTCTGGATTGTACATGTTCGAGTACGGGTCATATGACTTTTTTGGCGCGGGCACGTAACTAGTCATGTTTACTTGCTCCGCACTCTCTTCTTGAATCACTGGGCACATCTCTGTAGAATGATGTATGGCAGTACAAATCCCACACGCCTTGGCTTATGGAGCATTTTCCACAGCCAATTGCCTAACAAATGATGTTAACTCGGTCAACTGTTGTTGGATAGCTGATGTCTTTACCTCATTTACTCTGCATATTTGGACATCACCTCTTGTACCAAATTGTTGTGTATTCTCGGTCATCCTTTCAATCAACTCCCACGCTTCTCGAGGAGTCTTGTTCACCAACGCCCCTCCACCTACAGCATCAATGATACTCCTGTCTCTGAAAAGGAGCTCCTCATAAAAATACTGGATAAGCAATTGCTCGGTTATTTGGTGTTGGTTGCATTTGATGCACAGCTTCTTGAATTTTTTTCAATAAGTCATAGAGCGACTCTTCTGGGTGTTGCTTGATTCTACATATCTCCTTCCTCAAACTTGCAACTCGGGAAGTAGGAAAATATTTTTTCAAGAATTTTTTCTTCAACTGCTCTCAAGTGGTGATACTACGTAGAACTAGATAGTACAATCAGTCTTTTGCGGAGTCCTTGAGAGAGAAGGAAAATGCTCTCATTTTTATTTGCTCTTCCGTAATTTCGGAAGGTTTCATACTCTTACAGACAACATCGAACTCTTGCAAGTGTTTATGAGACTCCTCACCTAGTAAATCATGAAAAGATGGCAAAAGATGAATTAGGCCCGATTTTAACTCAAACAAGGTGTTATCATTCAAATTGAAAAAGTGATGCATAGAGGCTGCTGATTTAAATCAGAAACAGCCAACTCCCTTAGTGTTCGTGCATTAGCCATAGTACCTTCTTCTCGATCCGAGTCACTCAAAATATCACCAAGTGAACTTGTTGATTCAACTTCTAGATTAGGTCTCTGAGATCCAGCACTAGATTGCTTTTCTGTGAGCTGTCTGGTCTCTTTTCGCGTTCAGCGCGCGGTCTTTTCTATTTCAATGTCAAAAATCAATTCGCCTGTACGAGAGGACTGAGGCATAAGCTAGAAAAGACACTAGAAAATTAAAACAGAAATGAACTTAAAAAGAAACAAATTAACTAACGCCAGTTCCCGGCAACAGCGTAAAAAATTGACAAGTTGTCGATGTCTGTGCAATAATGATAATAAAACTCCTAGTTGCGAGCAAAAGCAGTTTCACGTCAATTCTAGTACTGGAGTAGGAATTCTAGATGTGTAATGGGTTATTAGATTCACTCTGACTCCGAAGAATTTGCTAAATCCGATATACCAAAATTTATTCACAAGAATTTGTTAATTTGTATATAAGGCAAGTAGAATGGAATCCACAAGAACTGGGAGTAATTCGTTTCTACTAAAATTCAAGTTATGGGAGGATATTAGGGAAATTAACAATAAGCTATGTTAATCGAATATTGCAATTAACTAAAAATTAAATAGCAATAAGATAAAAACTCAAACAGTATTGGACAGCTCTAGTCAAGAAGCAACTTCAGAAATGGTTCTTCTAATTGATCATCGATGCAAGAATAATTTCACATATAAACTGATAAACAAGTTATAATTGTCAAACAAGCGATGACAATCAATTTCTCCATAATTATCGACAGTTAAGGTACGACCGTTAGCTACTATCCTAATTGCAAAATAATCTTAGGTACGACTGTAGAATTAAATTTCATAATTACTTTAAAATTTAAAGAAACCCTATTTTAACCAAACAACACGCTATGATGGTTGTCTACAAATTAGTTCGTATATTTCCCTGACATAATCTCGATTATGCCAGTTGCCACTAATTTAGAATAATCAAATAATTACGGATTTAATTATTCTAATTGGCTCTAGGTTATTGAATTAATCTAACATCCGGACCCGGAACAATTGAATAATACAACAACCATAAGAAAAATAAAGCAAAAAATATACGAATACCAGAAAATAATAGAAAAACTAAAATCAATTAAATTTTACAATTTAAATCGAACCAAATCCTCAATTGTTCCTTAATTAGAAGTATAAATTTAGTTCATCTCCGTTGAAAAAAATTCATGCAAAATTGCAGAATTAATTGTTGCATACATCGTCTCTCAATTGAGAGGAGCAATCCAATGGAATAAGCCACAAGAATAAGATGCAAAAGTCAAAATCCAAAGTAGTCAAGAATGTCTGCTACTTTTTTCTCCAATTCTTATCTATTTCCTACGTAATTGTCCACTCCTATACGGCTACTCCCATGGGTAATAGGAAAAGAGAGTTCTAATCTCAATTGACTTCCATCTCCTATTCAACCGAAGCCAAAAAAAGTAGGAAGTCTCCTAAATCCTAATTGGCCCGTTTCCTATTTTTGCTGAGCTACCTTTTCCAATTCAAATCTAACAATCAGCTAATGGAATATGTGCGGTCCCACGTTGTACTTCCAATTGGCAATTAGTGTCTCGCGCCTGTCCCGTATTTTCTTTTCTGGACACGTTAAGGTCTGACTTGATGCACCTATGCCAAATATGCATAGGTGCATATTTGATAAGATAATAAGAAATAATTAATTATAAAATAGAAGACAAAAATGCGACTTATCAATTTTTATAGAAATAGAGTAAATCTATCCCTTACTCGGTGTGGAAATCCATGCAATTCGTACTTGTACAATAAGTTACTTCTTATTGTTACTTGCCTTTACTGTTTTTAATTTACAACATTAACCTTAGGAGCCATTTGTGTCTCTTCATATTTTGGTAAAATTTTTCGCACTTGAATTCCACTCTTTATCGCAAGAATACTTTTCAACCTTCTGATTTTGAATGATATATTATTTGGCAAATAGTCAAAAGAGAATTACTCATATTCTCTTTCTATTTTTTTTGTTTCATATATCTGTTTTTCAAATCCTATTCCCATAAAAATAATTCCCTTTCTTTTATTTTTCATATTTGCTGTTGTTAAACGGATCACTTTGGCTAAAAATATTTCTTTAATGTTCACTTTCCTCTAGCAGTCTACTTTTTTGTCTCTATATTTTCCCCTAATTAACATTAGTGGCATTGTTCTTGTTTTTTTTTTTTTTTTTGAGTGTTTTAGGATGGCCATTTTATGCATTGCTAGCTGCTGCTTCCTGTCACAGAGCTTGGCAAAATTGGGATGTTGTCCTATCAAGCCCTGCAGACTGTTTCAGAAAGTGGGTACTCATCCACGAAGATAAAATTGGAATTCACATATTATTTGACTTTACATAATTGACACCCATAAGAAATCATAATATGCTTATCCTCTCATGCTGAAATTAATTTCCACGCCTTCAAAGCATAATTCTCTCTTCTGGCTACTTTTGGATTTATGGTATGTAAGAGTGGAAGATTTTTCTTTTGAAGCGGAAATGAAAGGATGATTTCGCCATTGTGGAATACAAATTTTGATGGTTCCAATCCTAAATGGAACCTTACCCGTTCTCAGAAACAAGTCATTGAGGATACACAAACTCCATAATAAAGAAAAATCTTTGCTTTATATACCTCTGATATATTTTATTATCTCTAGCTAAGTTTTCTTCTACGCTTTCTGCTTAACAGATTTGCATCAAATAAATGGTTTGGTGGAATTGTCTTTGTTGCAATCCTATTTGGAAGACTCTTGTCCTAGAGGTATTTACGACCATCCAATTTCCACATCTTCCATTCGTGCTTCCTTTTGGAACTTTTTCTTTTGGTTGTCCTTCCTAACTAAATTTAATATTTAATTTTTGCAAGATTAAGCAAGAATGTCTAGCTGTTCAAATTTCACTTTTCTACAAAAAAAAAAAAAAAAGTGAATTTTTTTTTTCAAATTTAACCAATTTTTTCTGTGGCACTATTTGACTTTGCAGGCAAAGAATCATGATATCAATTATAGCTCGAGGGAGTGTTAGAGATGATTAAATTGTGCTCAGTAGTCAAAAGGAAGGTTGTGATCAGAGAAAACTATAGCGATCCTCAACAATTCTTCTCACACAGTAGCAGTAGTCCACGTTTCTTCTTTTTTTTTTTTTTTGAAAAATAGTCAATGCTTCTTGGATCCTACTTTAATAAACATAACATATGAATTGGATCCATTTGCTTCAATTACCTAAACTATTTGCCGATTACCTTGACTATGTAACTTTAGCCTGCACTATTTTTTTTTTTTTTTTGGCCTCATACTACATGACCTACCCCTCCCCAAGATTTTAAAATATCTACGTGAACCCCTTATAGTTTTGTGAAAATAGAAAATTTGACAAGACGTAATCTCCATACAACCATTAGTTAAAATGCTAATATTGTCCTTAGTTAATCATTAAATTATATAAGGTCTAACCACTGGGCATAAAACCATAGAGAAGCATGTGGATAGATGTAAAATTACATGGTATTAAGTGGATATTTATGCAAAATTATAGAAAATTAAATAGATATTATAATTCCATCATACGTACTTTTTCACATACTTTTGGAGCACGTCTTGGTCAATCGGCGTAATTGAAAATGCTTTCTATTCATTGATAAACTTTACATAAACCATAGAAAGGTTATGTATATATTTTAAAACCATAAGGAGATCATATGGCATTATGTAAAAGTATAGGGGGTTATGAGTAATTCACCCTTTCCTTTCGTAACGAAATCCTTTGCTAGAATTATTTGAACTCTTGGATTACCTTGACCACGTAACTATGGAATCTTTCTATCAAAAAAATGCAACTATGAAGTCTCCAAAATCATTGGGCAGTTCTCTTGGTCTTTGTTCTTTTTTTGTCGTTTGTCTATAGCAAGTCATTAGCTGTTAGTCAATGTGATTTCATATTTGCCAACTTGTTTCTAAGTAATTTTTTGATGGCTTTGTTTTGTAACTACATGTAGAGCTGTTCCCCTAAGCTTCCATGCCAACCTCTCACAACAATTTCTCTTGGGGACTTTAACAAAATGGCCCAAGCTTCCAAGCTCAGTCATGGCATCCTCTCATAGTTTCTCTGGGATTTTTCCCATCTCCAACTTCAACCATCAACCTCATCCCTCCATAGCTCTCTCCAAATCCTCCATCAAACCAGCCAAATCAATCTCCAAAATCAACCCTTCTAGTGTGGAAAACTCAGCCACATTCAACCATTCTTCGATAAAGGATACCAGATTTCTTGGTAGAGGCTGTAACCTAACATATCAAGCTCCACGATTATCAGCATCATCAAAGTCATTAGAGCAGAGTGAAGATGAAAAACCTGCTTCTTCTTCTTGGATTGAATCGGTTTTTCCTGAAAAAGCTCGGCCTTATGCCTACCTAGTCCGGTTGGACAAGCCGATCGGCACGTTGTTAATTGCATGGCCATGTATGTGGTCACTAGCATTCGCGGCGAACCCCGGCAGCCTTCCTGATGTGAAGATGTTGGCATTCTTTTTCTTGGTGTCTTTCTTGACGAGAAACATTGGATGCACCATTAACGATTACCTTGATAAGGATTTCGATGCACAGGTGATGATGGCTTTCAATTTGATTAGTGAATCTGTTGTTTCTTTTTAATTTTTAACCTTTCATTTTTTTTAAGGGATAATTTTGGAAACATCCCCTGAGGTTTCTGACTCTTTCACTGGCTTCCCTCTAGGTTTCAAAAATTACATTAACCTCCCTTGAGATTAATTATCTTGTTATATTTAGGTCCAACCAATCATTAACAGGTAAGGATAGCAATGCGCGGCCACCCGCCCTCCGGGGGGCTAATGGGGCAGGGGGAATTTTTTCCCCTGCTCCGCCACTCTCTTTAAAAAAATAAATATATAAAATATATATGTATATAATTATATATATAATATATAATTTAATTAGTTACAAACTGATGATAATGATATTATTAGTTATATGTATTATATAATGTATATTGCTATATGTAATACAATTGATATTATCAATTATACTAATAATTATATATGTGTACTAATACAAATTATTAATTAGTTATACTAAATTTACTAATACATTTATACTAAATCCCTAATTACACTTAATACAATAACACTTTTTTCTCAAAATAAAGCACAAGCACAATAATGAATTAGTGATTGTATTTGTGTCAAAAGTGAAAACATGACTATTTTAGTTGTATTTATTTCATCATGTTGGATTATATTCAAGTAACTTTTGTTTGATTGTTTTTATAAGTTTCAATTGTGAAATTACAATGAATAATAATTTGGTGATGTGTTGATGTTTTAGTATTTGATTATTTGTTAAAATTTAATTATAATAAAATTATATAATAAATTTTTATTAGCCCGTGGGGACATCCGAGGGGGAAGCGGAGCCGGGCGAGGGGAAGCACCCGTCCCCCGTCCATTGCCCCAACCCCGCCCCGTTGCCATCCTTATTAACAAGTGATATTAGAAGAGAAAAGATAATAAGATTCTATCATTGTATCTCATCTACTATATTATTTAATTAATTTAATACTAACTCACACATTAAAAAAAATACTAAATTTTATTTTTATCATTAGCTCTCAAATCAAATATAACAAGAAAAAAATAGTATATCATTTTATAACTTTCACTTAATACAAGAACCAAATTACTCTTTTTAATTGCATGCCCATTGTCAAACATGACCAACAACAAGTAATCAAAAAATTTGCAACCAAAATATTACAGAGAACAAACATTAACATCATAAATATTCTTGTCAACATATTAAAGTTAGTTATTGAGATTTTTATGATACTAAAGCTCACTCCTTGTAATATTTTGGTTACAGATTTTTTTTATTATTTGCTATTAATCATGTTTGACAATAGGTTCGTAACTAAAAAGAGTAAATTGGATCTTATATGAAGTGAAATATGTAGAATGATATACTATTTTTGATATACCATTATAGGTTCCAAAGTTCTTTATTAGCTAATTGAATAATTGCAATAATTCCACTTACCCTTTGCACAAGGGAGACCCTTCCCACCCAAATCCATTGGAGCTTGTTGCCAATAATGGGCTCACATTTTTTTTTTATTAACCAGTAATGGGCTCACATCAATTCCCCTGTCCCATATTATACCCCAAGAAGAAGGAAAAAAGAACAACACTAAAGAAACGAATATGGAAAAGATACCATACCAAAAGAAGATGGAAGAATCATTTTTTATGATATCATACGAATAAAGAAACATTTTTTTTATTAGCCAATAATGGGCTCACATCAATTCCACTGTCCCATATTATACCCCAAGAAGAAGGAAAAGAGAACAACACTAAAGAAACGAATATGGAAAAGATATCATACCAAAAGAAGATGGAAGGATCATGGAAGAATTCCACCCTTTGTTCTTTGTGTTGTGATTAATACTCCCTCTTATGCTGTGCTCCTTTCTTCAAGTTTCAGCATCCCAATGATGAGTTACCCTTCATTGCAATTCCATTGCATAAAATAACAAAGAAAACTTGTGTATTTCAGGTGGAGAGAACCAAAGGAAGGCCTCTGGCCTCTGGCTCAATCACCGGATTTCAAGCCCTTCGTTTCCTTGGCATCCAATTGCTAATTGGTTATGGAGTTCTTCTCCCAGTAAACGAACTAAGGTTTTTCTACCATCAACCAAATATATCCAGAGTTGACTACGTTTTTAAACAAAATGCCACTAAACAATAACAGCAGATGCCACTATAATCTCTTACCATGACATTACAATTGAAAATGCCATTAATTTTAGAGTAAATTTTATATACGCTGTCAATGTATACACTATCACAGTTGGATGAATGATATATGAGCAAATTTTAAATTTTAAATTTAAATTTTACGCACGTGTCATAAATCTAATGGTGATAGTGTATATACTGACAGTGTATATAATGTCACTAAATCACTTTTTTCTTATAGTGAAAAATGATGGAAAATAATATAATGGTGAGACCATTTCGCAGGGAGTGTATGTATGTATTCAAGATAGACTCACATTGAATGGCACTATATAAAGTCTGGTATTAGTTTATAAATATGTAATTATAAACCTACCAACTGACTAAATGTGCAATTTTAGGAGCCACGTCCCAATTAGGTTTGGAATTTGGATTCTTAAATAGCCACTTTCTGTTGTTTAGACTTAATTAATGGAGAGAAAACATGAATGGACTGTCCATTTTGACTTATGATATTTAATTAGATAACCCTAACAATTCTAACAAATGTGTTCTAAAACTTATTGGATTGATAACTAATCCTCTTTTCCAAAACAGCAAGTGATAGATGCATGTAATCCACTTAAAAACTATTGGGTTGATAACTTATCTTCTGTTCTCTTTTCCTTTCTTACTTCGTTTTAGTTTATAAATTGTTTGTGGCTTATCTACCATATTCAAATGTATTTGAAGCTTCTCTGAGGATCCAAGTCGCTTTCTTTTCTTCCTTCAATTTTTGCTAAGCATCTTCAAATCTTAGCTTTAATTCTTCTTTTGCTTATGTGCAGCCGTCTACTATGGGCTTCATCCTTACCGTTGATCTTCATTTACCCGCTTATGAAGAGAATAACATACTGGGTAGTATCATATCTATAGTATACGGCTCTATATTTTGTTCAAAATTTATTATATTTTTTCCCTTATTAGTATGTCCAAAACAACCTTAATTTTCTTAAACTGGAATGAACTTTTGAAACATTAACTATTTTTTTTACATGATATAATTTTTTTCACTAAATAGAATGTTCACGTCATTTATGCAGTTATTATGCCAACTGTGTTACAAGAGATTTTTAAATATAAAAAAAAAACATTTAGAAAACATTTACTCTGCCAATTAGAAAAGTGAAAAATTAATGTGTATGTTAATGCAGCCTCAAGCCCTATTGGGACTGGCTATGAACTGGGGAGTATTATGCTCCTGGGCTGCTGTGAAAGGAAGTCTTGATCCTACTATTGTTTTCCCACTTCTTGTTGGATGCTTCTTTTGGACTCTAGAGTATGATACAATATATGCACATCAGGTACAAATTTTCTTGAACTAAATTGATGTTTTATGCATCAACTAATTATAAGAAAAATCAAATTAGTGACTAGATTTTTTTTTTCTAAATTAAAATACTGGAGAATTAATGACTGGAGACTTCCCTTTGTCCTAGATGAGAAGGACTTGAGGATTTGGCTAATGGAATTGTAAGTGGGGATATAAACGCAATTAACAAGCAATGTTTAGTTAAGCTAGAAAAATTTGTGAATAAAGTCAGATCTTTTAAAACCAAAAAGAATGGCCATCTCCATATACTATTTTACTTTCATTGACAACCCTATCGGGTCTGATGTATCTGAGTAATTCTTTTTGGATTCTTCTATTATATATGTACCCTTAAGGCACATGATAAGAGGTGAGTTCTAGAGTTAGTTGTCTGGGAAAATGTAAAATTTCTCCGCTAAAATTAATTGAATTTATGAGTAGATATTAATGTCTAAGATTTAAAATGGATCCACTTCTTATATTCTGTACGTTTATTTTGTGTCCTAAAGGCATAGAATAAAAAAAAAAAAACCATGTGGGCACGAGCAACTTGGACCTGTTAAAGACGATTGACCATTGGACAAAAAATTGGCACCAGCAACTCATGTGGGCAGTAATATAAAACTCTGATTTTTGAATTTTTGTTGAACTAAGATCAATGAGCTATTTGGTCTTCTCATTTTTCTTCACTTGATTTAGTATATTTGAAGTTATTAAACTTCATTAAGCTAGAAATACAAATGCCAATATTAGAAATGGCAGTTGAATTTCTTCAAAAAAAAGAAAAAAGAAAAAAAAAAAGAAATGGCAGTTGAATGAGTTCCCTGTTTATTGGGCACAGGATAAAAAGGATGACGTGAAAGCGGGTGTCAAATCTACAGCTTTGCTATTGGGCGAATCAACAAAATTGTGGTCTGCTAGTTTTGGAGCGGCATCCATTGCTTGTTTTGCTCTAGCCGGATTGAATGCTCATATTGGTATTTACTTCTTTTTATTCATCTTTTTTTTTTTCCATTTTACTCAACAATTATCTAATTGTAATTTGCATCTAATGAAGTCAACAATTTATGTATTGTTGTGAAAAAGGTCTATCTGCATGTATAATTAAGCACGAGTAAATTAACAGGAGATCATGTTTCATAATTTTGTACATGTGGAGTAAATCCATCTCTTACGCAACTATTTGTGTACAAGAAGTTACTTCTGATTGTTACTCGCCTCTGCTGTTGTTAATTTACAATATTAGCCATAGGAGCCATATGTGTCTCTTCCTACCCACGCTTTCTTGGAAGGGCAAAACTTTGGTAGATCCGATCTTGTAGATCTAGTGGTCCAAATTTTATCACATTTTCATTACTTGAGTTAATGACATGGTGTGACAAATTTTGAACTACTAGATCTACATAAATCAAGTCTACCCAAGTGTTTGCATCTAGCAGGAAGAGTTTCCTACTTCTTATTTTGAATGGTATACTATTTTAAACATAGTCTAAAATCTAGATAAAATTATCATGTTTTCTTGTTGTTTATATGTATGGTAAAGGGCAAACTGTAATCGATTCAATGGTCATAAAATATTAGACAATTTTATAAATTTACTTATACATATATATACACATATATACACACACACATATGTGTATATATATATATATATATATATATATATGACCCAGTTTATGTTTGGATTTGGGCATGGATCATAGCAAATCAGGCTCGTGACTCTTTTACAGAATCTAGATCTGGGTAGAGTTTGGATTTGAGAAATTAAATCCAATTCCTATCCAAATATATTGGGTTGGATTGGATCTGAGTAAGATCCGACCCATTGACATGCCTAGTAGTTATATTGAGAAGATATGAAGCAGTTTGAATAAAAGACTCCCGAAACTACCATCTTTCAAAGCTGACTTGACTAAAAGCACTTAAAATTAGTTAGTTATTAGACGAGATTTTACAAAAAAAAAAAAAAAGATTTATAGAATAAAACAAATATTTCTTTTTTTTTCGATGCGAATTTGACACACCAGGGGGACGGGTATCATTTTCATGTCGGCCTAAGAATGAGTGATTGCCCTTCTCCGACCCTTACTACCCAACGCTGCTTTGATAGTTACTATTAAAATAGGTGGTAGAATTTAAGATTTTGTGAGGGTAAAAATGAAAGTTCAAAAAGTGACAAAAAAATGTTTACACCAAAACACAAGACTCCCAATTTATACATAGTATTGATATAGATGTTAGCTTTGGCTAAAAATATTTCTTTCTATTTTACTCTCACCTTGCTGTCTGCTTTTTGCCTATATATTTTTTCTAACTTTTATTTCCATGTCCTTATTTGTTGAGTGTTATAGGATGGCCATTTTATGCATTGCTAGTAGCTGCTTCCGGTCACATAGCTTGGCAAATTTGGGATGTTGACCTATCAAACCCGGCAGACAGTTTCAGAAAGTAGGTATTCATCCATAGAGATAAAATTGGAATTCACTCGTTGACTTTACATAATTGATACCCTTAATTAGGAAATCATAGTAGGTTCATCCTCTCATGCTATAATTTATTTCCACACCTTCGAAGCTGAATTCTCCCTTCCGGCTAGTGAAGAACAATCTCTTAGCATTTGTTTGAGCTAATTACTTTTCTTTGTGAGTGGGTCCATAGCGAAAGTAAACAAATCATACGAAGAATGTAAAAAGAATATACGCAAATTGTTAAAGGGTTTTAACATATCTAAGTGTGTTATTGTCTATTATAATTACATTCTTAGTAGTACTTATAGATAGAGCCCATTTGAACTTAATGGTATGTATCCCTAAAAGCGCAATACTTTCTTCTAAAGCGAAAATGAAAGGGTGCTTTCCCCATTGTAGAACACAAATTTTGATGTTTCCACTCTTAATGTAACCTTACCCATTTTTGAGAAAAAAAGTCTTGAAGAGATACAAACTCCATAAGGGGAAAAAAAAAAGTCTATGCTCTATATGTTTCCTGATATATCTTATGATCTCTGGCTAAGTTTTCTTCTACTCTTTCTACCAAACAGATTTGCATCAAATAAATGGTTTGGTGGAATTGTCTTTAGTGCAATCCTATTCGGAAGATTCCTTTCCTAGAGGTATTTACAACCATCCAATTTCCAAATCATCCATTCGTACTGCTTTTTGGACCTTTTTCTTTCGGTAGTCTTTTTAACCAAATATGGTGTTTACAATGTCTAGCTATTCAAATTTCACTCTGCTACCAAAAAATAAATAAGAAAGAAAGAATTTTTTTCAAATTTCACTAATTTTTTATGTGTGCTATTTGACTTTGCAGGCAAAGAAACTTGGTGTCAACTACTGCAAAAGGGAGAGTTGGAAATGATTAAATTCAATCATCTTTTGAAAATATAATGTTACAGATATAGTAATGCTCCAAAAAACGCATAACAACCTTGGGGACTGTGCTGGATGAGGGATTGAATCCTCAACCATTGGCAATTGTAATACACTATCCCATTAATAGTGTCATATTTTATTTTTCAAGATGTGCAATCAAAACATTCCTAATGATTTTTATAATCTAATATCCCTTGCTTCCATTATGTTTCCAAGTTCAAAGAAAAATTAAATTGATTGGGAAACTTAGGATCGTGGGATAAAAATATGCAAAACAACTGAATACAGTTTAGTGACAAACGGAGTTTACTGCTACCAATTACATATACATTCGACCACCTATGCTAGTCACCACTCCTTGGAGCCAGATGCCTTGGAGAACAATCTGTGACCAAACGCCGCTGTTGACTGCCGACAGTTGACTCTGGGAAGGCATTTGTGACAATCCGCATTGTTGTGGCTTTTCAATTGTTCCACATTTATATTTTCCAAAATTTCTCAATCATCAAGACTTAGGGTATGTTTGATAAATTTGAAATCTGAATATATTAAATTATTGAATTGTTAAATATTAAATCTAATACATTTGAGTGCATATCACATTCAATAATAAATGAATAACTTATCACTTAATTTTGGAAGCAAGTTTTGCCGAGAAAATTCAGTACTACTTAATTAATTCAGATGTTCAATTTTTTATTATCAAACGGTCTGAATATGTTAAAATCTAAATCCATTAAATTTAAGTATTGAATTAGGTTATCAGACAGAGCTTTAGTTTACTAGTTAAGGTTAAGGCCCTAAAAATTAGAAGTCCTAGGGTCAAATCCCCCTTTCCCCTTATGTCTTCTTAAATCCCACCCTCTTCTAATGAAAATTTTAAAAAGGAAACTTAATTACCTAATATCCTTATTGTTTAACACCCATGATTATTGGAAAGCAATAAAATTTGAATTCAATTACCTTTTATTATTATTCATTTACGTGCCTTTTCTCTTTTTCCTTTCCCTTTTCCTCTTTAATACTCCATAACTTTTACTCTCTGGTTATTTTTTCTTTTTCCTTACTTATTCAACCTTCAAACTTACCTATCTTCAACCCTTAAATTTCTATGAGGCTATGAGACTCATTCATTATCATTGTCCTAAATATTTCTATCATTCTTCCTCACACAATCCCCTCTTTGGCATTGTGATGTTTGAAATGTAGCTATATAATTAAGTAACCACTTTTTTTAAGGCTGTGAAATGCGTATCATCCTTGATTGACTTCATCCTATGCAAATCACATGTAACTCTCACATCCCCACTGCAATGTACGACAATCATTCCTTAAAGAAATCATTAATAATTGTATTAAAAAATAAGCACAATATAATAGCGATTTGGTGCTTACCTAAAAGTTGAGGGGTTATAGAGCAGATACTCGCCACGTTAGACTACTTACTTATAACAATCGCAATCCTTCTTGTGACCAAATGTATATAATAGATTAGTTGGTTTTGAACTTTTATTTAGAATTATATCTAGTTTCATTTACGCAATATATAGAATTTTTTCTAATATCTATGCTATTAATTTCTTGTTTTTCTCTTTACTTCTTCTTTTTTTTGAATAAATATTATATACACTGACAGTATATACACTATCACTGTTACATTCATGACATGTGTGCAAAAATTGAATTTCAAATTTAAATTTCATATAATTGTCATTCAGCCAATGTTGACTGTGTATACACTGTCAGTGTAGGAAAGATTAATCCTTTTTTTTTGGATAGGGATAAGAAAAGAAATGGATTAAAGAGAATTTAAAGAAGTGGATGGAAGATAATTATATGGTCTCCTTCCCTACATTGCAATCACTTGGGTACAATTTCAAATTTCATGCCATTATATTTGTGAAACCATCTCAATGGCTTCTGTACGTAAGATTTTTAAGGTTAAAGGTGAGATTATCAATCTTTCACTCAAAGCCAATTCACTTCACTGTTCTCTATTCTCTTCTTTTTCAACTTCTCTCTACTTTTTCTTTTCTTTTTAAATGCCTTCCTTTAGGGAGAGAGACCATGGGAGGGGGACCCTCACATGAATTTCATTTCATTTTATTTTTTCTAATAAAGTCTCTCCTAAGTTTTCTTAGTGAGAGTTTTCTGTTTCATCTAGATATTTTTAGTGAAAATTTTCTGTTCTCCAAGGGATTCCTATAGAGATTTGAAATTTTTTTGGATCTTGAATTTATTTTGCTAGATCTTATCATCATTATTGCAGTTCAAAATCGTTGATTAGTAGATCTAGTAGTTGCAACATGTACAAAAAGGAGCTATAGTGATTTATCTGTTAGAAGACAATTTTGAAATTTTTTGTATTTTTCAGATCTGTTTATAATTTTTTGGATCTATTATATCCATTTAATTACAAATCTGTAATTTCTAGTGCATGTTTAACCTATCATCAGAGTAGCAATATAGATCAATTTGTGTTGGACAATTTCCAGCAATTTGTTAATGGAATTTGCTTTTTATGAAAAACAAAAAAAAGGGTTAAAGGTGAGATTGATGTGATCATACAAAGTTTCTTTCATTCATCCAAAATCTACTTTGATTTAGTTGATGCTAAAAAGGAAATATTCTATTGATGCTAAAAAGGAATTACTCTATCTTGAATGTATATCTATGAGTAGATTCTTTTGTTTGTTAATGAGAGATCTTTGAATGAAATATTAGTATGTATTTGCATATGGATAGATTGGGAAAAAAGGTCGAGGTAAACCAATTAGTATGCGACTAAAGTATTACTCTTAATAATCACACACCTCACTCAGTTTGGAGCTGATAGACTGTAAGGCCATTGATTTATATCTATTTTTGTACAATATAGAATTTAACCTTCTTTTTCCTATTGTATACTAGGAGGTTATCGGCTATGCTAAGCAAAGCCTAGGCGCCCTATAATCTGTTATCATATATTTTCGTATAAGATAAGATTAACAATAATGTTTGTGAAAAAGCATTCTTAAAATTATAAATTACCAATCAAGTATGCAGCTAACAATATAAGACTAAATAAAACAAAAGAATCATTAGCATTGCAAACGATAAGAGAAGATGACAAAAGATTGGTAAGTAGTTTCACAAACAGCTTGATATCTTCAAGTGCAAGTTAGTCTTACAAAGATAGGAGATGACTTGCTAAATACTTAATATAAAGTGCAATCATAGGCTGCAATTACAAAAGATCACATATTGAGATCCATCAAGGTGCACAAAAGAACAATTTCTTAATGGATGTCAATATTATGTCAAAAGATGCAAGATTAGAAATGTAGCTGTAACGTGCTTTAACATTAACAAAATCAACAATTCAAAAGACTTCAAGGAAGTTCAGAGTTCATCATCACGCTGCTTCTTCAAGGGACTTCCAGGTGCATTGGTGGACAGCGAGATAGGTGTATTAGCTTCAGTAGAATTCAAACCAATTCCAGGAGGCACAATTCCAAAAACCAAGGACCTTTTTGCTGTGGTCACTGGAGGCGGCAATTCGTTTGCAGTAGCAGACGATTTAGCGATGGTATCAAGCAATTTTTTGGTTGATGGACTGAAAAATTCATTTTTCTTGGCAGGCTGCAGGACAATAGCATAAAGGTCTGGAATTTTTTTATTCATTTCTGCAGCTGTGATGGCCATTGGAATCTAAACTGATTCCTCAGTAGTGTATGCCTTGACAATATTATACTTGCCTTCCTTCTGACCTTGATAATTTGACTCATAGTAGCGAATAAAACACACAATCAAATGCCTTCTGATTGCAGATGCTAGTTTAGCAAAAAAGTTAAGCTCCTAAATTTTTTTGTTTTAAAGTATAAATAAATAGCAATGATATTCAAATTCTAAGTAACTTCATGTTGTGTAAATAGAATTGGATTCCAAGCATAAGTTATGGAAGGAAACAAAACATATTATACCCAAGACATTATGGAATTACTGTGAAAGATGGCAAAACCAAATAATCTTTTGTTTCCTACAATCATGACACTTTTACATGGTGAGAGCAGCATTCATACCCAAGAAAAGAAGCATAAAAATCAGATTATTCGATAGTTATTACCATTGGACCTCAATGAACTAAATAAAACTCTCATTTTTTTCTATTCAGGTAGAGGCCTAAAAAGGCCGAAATCTTTTGAGTTCATCTGGCCCATTAATATAGACCAGCAAAAGCAACGAATGAGAGATGTTCCAGTTGTTGGATCAACAGAAAGTCACTTGGCGAAAAGAAAGCAGAACTATTTGACTCATTCTGGACATGCAGTTCCAATTCGATTGAGATTGGATTTGTCATGCGAAGAATGGCCAATGCTCTAATTGTCCAATCGTGCACAAAGTCTATTAGTATCAAATATACAGTTCCAATTGTGCACAAAATTTCTATTTACTTATTTACCTAAAACTAATCAAATCTGGCAAAGAAGGGCCTGGAAGAGGTAACTCGATATCTCATTTACAGGATAGCTCAATTGGACTCAAATCTCATAACCTTATCCAGAAAAATGTACCACCACCCCTCCTTTTGCTTTATGGGTTTCTTACAACTAAATTCCTAATAAATTAGCCTCACACAACAGTAACAATTTGACAGTTTGTGGCTTCAGTAACTAATAGAAAAGGCTACAAGCATGAGAGGTCAAATTAGCAGGCAAACCAACTGGCTGAGCATCACACAGAAAAACAACCAAAAATGGAAAACAAAAATGAAATTGGCAATTCCACCAGAAATATAGCCCACATGATATAGGAAAAGTCAGCAGAAATATAAGAACTATAATGGGCAGCAGAAATATAGGCACATGAAGTTCATGGCAGCTGAAGGGAAAAATGAAAAAATCTATGAAGGGAAAAAGAATTGATAACATTAAGCAAGATGTAATAAGCTGGTAGTTGTATTATCATGCAAGAGCTAAACTTGTAGCAGATTTTTTTGTTACCAAGATTGTTAGCTTACCTCAGTATGCGCTTCCCAGAATTGAAGTGCTGTAAATGGGATAAGCTTTTCAGCATCAAGGCCAAAGATACCAGTGTTTATGGAGCCGGTACCATCATCAACAGCAATCCCAATTCGGGTCTTATTACACATTGGAAATAAAATATTATATTATAATTTTTCATTACAAGAGAGGGAAACTTAATTTGGTAATTACCTTGCTAC